TTAAAAACATATTGAGACATGTAACAGATGCTCACTTACCCACCATTGTGGATAAACAAATAGTAGCATTTCCCCAGTATTTACTTCATCTTTGACTAAAGAAGAAAACACTGCAAATAATGTTGATGAGCTCCAGCTACTGGTAAAGATCTTAGGCTTGACCAAATGTGATTTGCTTTGTTTTCTGTTTTGCTTCATTCATGCTGCTGTAACAAAGGACTAAGATTGGGGGGTTTATAAACAACAGAAGTTTCACTGTTTTTGAAGTCTCAGGTCAGGTTGCCAGCAGGGCCGGGTTCTGGTGAGAGCTGTCTTCTTGACTGCTAACTTCTTAATGTGCCCTCATATGGTAGAAAGAGCACTGGAGAGCTCCCTGGAGATTGTGTTTTAAGGGCACTAATCCTGTTCTTGAGGACTGTACCCTCATTAGCCAGTAACCTTCCAAAGGTACCACACCAAAATATTGTATGACTCGAGGTGAGGATTTCAACAAATGAAATTTCAGGGCATACCAGAATTCAAGCAATCATACATACCTTCTCTAATAGATTTATAATAAACTTAGAATTACTTTTCAGTATTCATTGGACGATTTGTTCCTTGGGTCTGATTTTATTTACAAAAAATTGATGTAGATTATCTGGGATGAATAGTATGGTTGATGTATGTCCACGTACACTCACGTGAATGTGTGTGTATGGGGGGAGGTGCATATTTGTTTACAGAGAATTAAAGCAAATCTACCCAGTCACACAAAAGTCCATTCTAGACTAGAATGATGGGTGACTGTATCAAAAACCTCAGCTTGACACAGTTTTCTTCCTTTATTGGACTAGACACACACACATACACACACACATAGACACACACCTGATAGTTTGCAGAGAGAGAAGGAACCTTCCTTTCATTCATTATGTTTCTTCATCTCTATGAGTTAACTAAAGCAAAGGTAGTTATGAGATAATTGAGATGGAAGAAACAGTTGGAAATAAGTGGGATATCTGGAGGTTGCTAGATATTAGATTATATCCAGCAAAGACTGGAAGTGTGTACACTGCAATTTATTAAGGTTTTGAAAGATTGTCTCAAATTGAAAGTGACAATTTGATAAGATTTGCTCAACAAAGGAGAAATTCTTAACAGCTATTCTTATTTAATGTTGGAACAACTGAGCAGAGATTCGATGAGACCTAAGAAGATGGCTGATAATACAGTTAACAGAAATGTCCTCAGACTTCTTTTTTTTTTTTTTTTTTTTGACAGGCAGAGTGGACAGTGAGAGAGAGAGACAGAGAGAAAGGTCTTCCTTTTGCCGTTGGTTCACCCTCCAATGGCCGCCGCGGCCAGCGCGCTGCGGCCGGCGCACCGCGCTGATCCGATGGCAGGAGCCAGGATCCAAGTGCTTTTCCTGGTCTCCCATGGGGTGCAGGGCCCAAGCACCTGGGCCATCCTCCACTGCACTCCCGGGCCACAGCAGAGGGCTGGCCTGGAAGAGGGGCAACCGGGACAGAATCCGGCGCCCCGACCGGGACTAGAACCCGGTGTGCCGGCGCCGCTAGGCGGAGGATTAGCCTAGTGAGCCGCGGCGCCGGCCTGTCCTCAGACTTCTAATGGCATTCTTGGCTGGGCTGGGCTGGGCTGGGCTGGGATGTACCAGTCATTGGACATTAAATCAACTCAAGATTTCATGCTAAGGGGAAGCTCTTTGGCAAATCTTCATTTCACGCCAAGTTCTGGTATCCTGACAAATCTCAGGAACATTGAAAGTGTTTCAAAATTAATCACTTTGGACATGTAGTTGCTGTATACTGCTGGTGCAGGATTTTGTTTAGAGACTTCCAAATTGTTGTCTTTATCCAGAAAGTAAATTTTACACTGAGATTGGAAAATTGCAGCCACCAAATGGAAAAGATCTCATATAAGTCCAAGAGCAAAATAGTGTAGTTTAGTCAGGATGGGTGACATCTGCTTTGATTCTAGAAATAATCTCAGTTCAGTCTGAGAAAGAAATATTCAAGGCCGAGATTATTATTTTGATAATAAATTTTTTGTTTTCTCTGGACTGTGTAACCCAACTGAGTTGATTTATTTTTAGAATGGAATCTCCTCTTTGACAAGAAAAGAGTGAAACTTACAGGCAATATACAATGTCGACCACCCAGAAGTGTCTCCACAGGCATTTTCATTCTTACTCAATCTGTGCTGTGTGCTCTTTTGAATGAGAAGATTTTTAACTTTCACATTCATCTGAGTATCAGGTGAATGTGAGGATTTCCCTTTAAACAAAAGAAAAAAAAATGTGAGATTTTAGCCTGAAACACAATAAATGACAAACCTATTTGGGAAAAAGAAATCGAAATTTATCATTTTTACCATTTTTAAAGAAGCAAAGAAAAAAACAGATAGTGCTTAGAGTCCCATGGAGAACAAAGGATGCAAGCCAAGACCCTAGCTGAGAGTTACTTGCCTGTTTTCAAATCTGACTTGCCAGGAAATATCTGTCCTCAAAGTTTCCAAGACAACATCTGCTAGTAATTAAATTTAGCTGCCACTCTGACCCCAGTCTCCATAGCCACATCTTTATTTACTGCCCACTGTATGCCAGGCATAGAATAATTTGTGTTCACACAGCGCTTGTGTCCCAGCAGAGGGAGATAATATAAAAACAAAGGAATAAACACAAACAGCATGTGAGCAGGAGAATGTGCTAATGGAAGATATCAGGCTAGGTAAAGTGGGAGGATCAGGAGGGCCAAAGGGTTGCTCTTTGGAGCAGGTCGTCAGCAAAGCCTTTCTTATTTTTTTAAAAAAGATTTATTTATTTGCTTAAAAGAGTTACACAGAGAGAGAAGGAGAGGCAGAGAGAGAGAGAGAGCATGAGAGCGAGCGAGCGAGCTTTCACCTGCTGGTTCACTCCTCAATTGGCCACAACTGGATGAGCTGCACCAATCCGAAGCCAGGAGCCAGAGCTTCTTCTGGGTCTCCCACGTGGGTGCAGGGGCCCAAGGACTCGGGCCATCTTCTGCTGCTTTCCCAGGCATAGCAGAGAGCTGGATCGGAAGTGGAGCAGCGGGGACCATATGGGATGCCGGCACTTCAGGCCAGGGAGTCAACCCACTGTGCCACGGCGCCAGCCCCAGGACTGGGGTTTTAAAAAATTCATTAGAAAGGATTTTTTTTGCTTGATGAAACCAATGGTCTTTTACCAGATGACAAGCTTATATTATTTTGTGAGGTGAGTGTGGTCCAAGATGCGGTAAACAAATCAGGACATACTAATACAAGTGCTTTGAAGGTGCCTGAATGTCGACTAGCAGAAGATTTAGGCGACTTCTGGGAAAACATAAGATTTACAGATTGCAGTTTTTTTTGCGCGTGGACAAGAATTTAAAGCTCATACATCTGTACTTGCAGCCCAATCCCCAGTTTTCAATGCAATGTTTGACCATGAAATGGAAGAAAGCAAAAGAATCGAGTAGAAATAAGTGATTTAGACCCTGACCTTTTTAAAGAAATGATGGTATTCGTTTACACAGGAAACCACCAAATCTTGATAAAATGGCTGTCAACTTGTTGGCAGCTGCAGACAGATCTGCACTGGAGCGACTTTAGGTCATGTGTGAAGAACTTTGTGTATTAACCTTTCAGTAGAAAATGTTGCTGATACCCCTGTTCTTGCAGATTTGTACAATGCAGAACGGTTGAAAGCACAAGCCATAGATTTTATTAACAGGTGCACTGTGCTTTGCCAGGTTGGGTGTGAAGATGGGAAAATCTGGAACAGCAGTCAAGCAACTGACGTAACAGAAACATCAGGGTGGAAGTCCATGATTCAGTCACACCCTCACTTAGTAGCAGAAGCCTTCTGAGCACTCGCCTCTGCACAGTGTTCACAGTTTGGCATACCTCGCAAATGGCTAAAACAGTCCTGACATATTCCATGAACACTATAAAAATGGAATTGACCGTTACCCTTCCAGGTCCAAAAGGATGCTAATATACAAACCATAAGCAAGAGTTGTATCTGTTTTCTTGTACACAGAACAGATGGTGAAAAGCATATTACTTGCATTTCAGGTGGATAATTTATGTTTTATTCTTCAGCTTTAAATTAGTCTGATTAATTCACTTCAAGGCCTTAAATTATCAATGACTTCTCTTGTTTATATAATACTTTAATTTTTTTTTATTGTGCCTTGCCATTTTGGCCAGGCTACGCAGGATTGCACAGCTGCATAATGCGGTGATTCGGATAACTGAAGATACTAAGTTTCAAAAAGATCTTCCATTATTTCTTGAAAAGAAAAATGAATTTAGAGGTTTTGTCTTGTGCTATCTCAAAGTTTAATTGTAGATTCTTCTTAAAAGTACGTGTATCAGAAATTACCAGTAATGTCTCCAGTCTAAGTTATATAAATATAGATGAACCTGCTTACCTTCAAGGTAAGTTATGGCAATATACTGCTTCAGTTCTAATTTATTTTTCATTTCAAGGGGCAAATATGCAATGAGTTGGCCAAGACTTTTAGTAAATTTTGTGGTGTTTGTATGTTAACTGTTTAACAAACTGTGGGATTATCCAAATTTACAGTGATTGAGAACTAATTGAGGTTAAGATTTCAACAAGAAAGCATGTTTTCTGCTGAAGTAATTTTTTAAAAACTTATAGTGACCTATATTTATGTGAGAATTCTATACATGTTAAAAGTTAAGGATGACCAAATGTAAATTTAATGAGTGGGTCAATTAAGAAAAATATATATGCACTTTTCATGTGTAACTTTTGTATGCTGAGTGGTACATATATTTTTCCTGTTTGGAGGGAATTAATAAGGTGTAATTAATTGTGTCAACTTTTGAAATGATTTTTTAAGACACATGGAAGCAACTGGGATATTTGTGATAATAGATAAGAAGGGTCTCCTTGATTATATTTAAATTGGTTTGGATTTCAGATATTCATTACTGAATTTATTCCTGTTTTTTCGTACTTTTGTTAGACCCTCGGAGTGAGGATGCTAACACGTCGAGAGGCACACCCCAAAGACTCAGACTCCAGACCAGCTGATGCAAAAGCAAGAGGATTTATTCGGCGTCTGCGCAGACGGGCCTCCTGAACTCGGAGTCCAGAGAGCACCCCCAGCACAAAGCCACACGGTTTATCTACCCGCAGCGACCAATCAAAAGCACTACAGAGTCCATGCACACAGCAGTCCAATCCTCGAGCTGATCATGTGAAGGGCATGCGTCTTCTATCCAATCAGCTATGGGATCACATGGGAGGTGTGCACCTCGTCGCCATTTTGTTGTTTACTTCTTTAGTAGTTCCTTTCCCTGCCAGCGCCATCTTGTTCACCCTGAGGGGGACGACGTCTCGCTCCCTTTGTTCTCCTGGTGGGAGAGCGGCGTTCCACTTCCCACACCGTTATTTGAGTATTAGGAGGTATACAAACTGGGTTAGGTCTCAGCACAGCCAGGCACAAGTGACTCAGCTAGCTAAGCATAGGGTCCCTTATTTTTATAGCTGCACCTAATTTTAGCTTTGGGGGAAAAAGTTTAGGGCTGTAATTTTTTATTTGGGGCAAAGATAACTTCTTGTTTTTAATGGTATTGGCTTAGGTCACTCCATCTTGGTTTGATTTTTAACGTTCTTCATTCGCCCCTTTTCTTTTTGGAGAGATTTTAATCCTAAAATCTAAAGGTCAGCGTCGTCCCTGAGTGCCTGGTATTGTTGGGTGAGTACAAGGGCCTGCGTGATGGACAGCTGGTCCCGATGAACTGCAGCAATCGATTGAGGATGCACGGGCCAAAAGTTAAAATTAGGAGGAGGATAATGAGGGGGCCTGTGACTGTGGAAATGAGAGTGGTTAACCAGGGGGACTTGTTGAACCACCCCTCAAACCAGCCTTGTTGGGCCTCTCAATCTCTACGTCTTTTGTCCAACCTAGCCCTTAGTTTTGCCATGGAGTCTTCTATGACTCCCGAGTGGTCGACATAAAAACAGCACTCTTCACCAAGGGCTGCACAAAGGCCCCCCTTCTATTCTGTAAGACTACCTCGGACAGGGAAGTGAGGGATTCCTTCAGCCTAGTTATAGATTGTTCCAGGGCCTGTATGTCTTCATCAATGGCGATTTTTAAGTCATTGTAATGCCGAGGACCCTGGATTAAGGCTGCTGTTCCAGTTCCAACCCCGGCCCCAACTCCGAGCCCTAACAGGACTCTGCTAGGAGGCCGGCGCCGTGGCTCAATAGGCTAATCCTCCACCTTGCGGCGCCGGCATACCGGGTTCTAGTCCCGGTTGGGGTGCCGGATTCTGTCCCGGTTGCCCCTCTTCCAGGCCAGCTCTCTGCTATGGCCAGGGAGTGCAGTGGAGGATGGCCCAGGTGCTTGGGCCCTGCACCCCATGGGAGACCAGGAGAAGCACCTGGCTCCTGGCTCCTGCCATAGGATCAGCGAGGTGCGCCGGCTGCAGCGGCGGCCATTGGAGGGTGAACCAACGGCAAAGGAAGACCTTTCTCTCTCTGTCTCTCTCTCTCACTGTCCACTCTGCCTGTCAAAAAAAAAAAAAAAAAAAAAAAAAAGGAGTCTGCTAGGGTCAAAGAAACTGGCTCTCTACGGATGCGGGTGGGGCGTCTATCATAGGAATCTTCTAGTGTGTTGGTTGGATGGTAAATTATTTTAGGCACTAGCTGTACCATAACAAAAGTCCTGGGTGGCACTAAGGACCGAGGGACACACACAGGGGTAAGTCCCTTGTTACAAGCCCACCAGTTTCCGTAGCCTGGACTAACATGGGCATAGGTTGTTAAATTTGCACTTGGGATGGTAACATTACACAGTTGTATATGAGACGGGGAAGGGTTTCCTAGGCATGTTCCCTTTCCGGAAACTTGGGTCAGGGTAAAGTGGGCGGGGGTTCCTGGCTATTACGGTGGAAGTAAGCAAAGCTAAAAGCATTAGGGAGTTTTTTAAAGTCAGCTTGAGCGGATTTTGGGTGCGTTGCAATTTCCATTGTGCTGGCTCGCCCGAAGCTCTATCAGCTCCCGATGGTGCTCGCTTGACGTGGGACGCGTGAGCCCAGGCGGCGATTCCATCTACCTTAAGGGCTATTGGAGTGAGTGGTCAACAGTACAGTGTAGGGGCCCTTCCAGCGGGGTTCGAGAGTCTTAGACTGGTGTCTTCGGACGTAGACAGAGTCGCTGATTTGGAAGGAGTGAGGGACTGATGCGTTCCCGGTCCAGTAGGCCGCATCTAGAGGTCTCCAGATCTGGTTCTGTATAATCTGGAGTGCCTTTAGTCGTGCCTGCAAATTAGGTGCGTTAATAAAGGGGTCAAGCATAGGGTCAAGCAGATTTGCGGCGGGAGGGGATCCCCCATACAGTATTTCATATGGGGTTAACCCGTGGTGGGAGGGGGTGTTCCGGACCCGGAACAAGACCATAGGGAGGAGTTGGACCCAGTCTCTAGTGCCAGTCTCCATACCTAATTTAGTTAAGGTCTCTTTAATTGTTCTATTTGTCCCTTCTACCTGTCCTGAACTTTGGGGTCTATAAGCACAATGTAATTTCCAATTTATCCCCAGTGTTTTGGCCACCAGCTGACTTACCTGGGAGACGAAGGCAGGCCCGTTATCAGACCCAATTACCTGAGGGAGACCAAACTGCAGGAAGATGTCCTCGATGATTTTTTTGATGACCACTTGAGCGGTTTCTCGTTTGGTGGGGAAGGCTTCCACCCACCCAGAGAAGGTGTCTACAAAAACTAGGAGATACTTGTTACCATATTTTCCTGGCTTAACCTCAGTGAAGTCTACCTCCCAATTGACTCCGGGTCGATCCTCCCGGGACCTTGTTCCTTCCGGCAGCTTGAGGCGCCCTGCATTGACCTTAGCGCAGGGAACGCAGGACTCGGTGACCTCTTGAACTAGAGAGTTAAGCCTTGGGATAAAGTAAGGTTGATCTTTTTGTTGCAGCAGCATTTTTAGTTTTTTATGTCCTAAATGAGTCCACTTATGGAGTTGAGTTATTAGTTCACGGGCCATTTTGTGGGGCAGGACAACTTTGTCCTGGAATGTCCAAACTCCCTTTTGTTCATCGTAATCCGCCCCAAGCCGCTGGATTTCGTCCAAATCTTGATCTAAATGGGGGAAGGGGAGGTCCCTGTGGTCTGGCGTATGGTGGGCCACCGCAGTACTCAGGTGTAGAGTCTGTGGGCCTACCGCAGCCGTTCTGGCAACCTCGTGTGCCATTTTATTTCCTCTTGTTATAGGGTCACTTCCCTGCTGGTGTCCAGGACAGTGAATTATGCTCAACTTTTTAGGTAGGAAAAGCGCCTGTAAGAGGTCTAAAATTTCAGTCTTGTTTTTTGTGTCTTTTCCTGCTGAGGTTAAGAGGCCTCTTCTTTGGTCAGTTTCTCCATGTATATGGGCAGTAGCGAACGCATAGCGGCTATCAGTATAGATGTTAACTTTTTTCCCGCTAGCTTGTTTAAGGGCCTGTGTGAGGGCCACAAGCTCGGCTTTCTGAGCCGAGGTTCCCGCAGGCAAGGCGCTTGCCCATATTATGGAGTGTCCATCCACCACGGCCGCCCCTGCCCTCCGCTCACCGTTTTGTAGAAAACTGCTCCCGTCGGTGTACCAGGTGTGTTCCGCGTCTGGTAACGGCCGGTCCATCAGGTCCTCCTGGGTGCCATGGGCCTCAACCAGGATTTGGTGACAGTCATGAGGTACCCAGGCACCGGGCTCCATATCCGGGAGCAGGGTAGCCGGGTTCAGGGGGGTGGCAGGTCCGAACTGAATCTGCTCCGGGTTGAGAAACATGGCTTGGTAGTGAGTCACTCGGGCATTGGAGAGCCACCTATCTGGTGGCTGCCGGATGACGGTGTCAATGGCATGGGGGGCCACCACGGTGAGGGATTATCCTAGAGTCAGTTTATCTGCGTCTTTGACAAGGACTGCCACTGCGGCCACCATGCGCAGACACGGGGGCCAACCAGCCACCACATTATCCAATTTTTTTGAAAAGTAAGCCACCGGCTTTTTCCAAGGTCTCAGTTTCTGAACCAGGACGCCCTTCGCTATTCCCCTTTGTTCATCAACGTACAATGTGAAGGGCTTAGTCACATCGGGGAGGCTTAGGGCAGGGGCTGACAATAGAGCCCTTTTGATTTGATCAAACACCATTTGATGTTCTTTTTCCCATATAAAGGGGGCATTGGGTTTAGTGAGGGGGTACAGAGGTGCTGCTAATTCTGCAAATCCTGGTATCCATAGTCGGCAGAAGCCTGCACTGCCGAGAAATTCTCACATTTGTCGGGCGCTCTTGGGCAGTGGAATTAGGGCGACTGTCTGTTTCCGGCCCTCTGTTAGCCACCGCTGACCACCTTCTAGCAGGTATCCCAGGTAGGTCACCTGTCTTTTGCACACTTGTGCCTTTTTCGCGGAGGCTCTGTATCCCAATTCCCCCAATTTTTTTAGCAGGGCCCCTGTACCTTTTAGACGGTCCTGGTCTCTGCCGCCAAAAGCATGTCGTCCACATATTGAAGGAGGACTATGCTGGGGTTGTTGACTTGGAAGTCTGCCAGATCCTGGTGCAGGGCCTCATCGAACAGGGTAGGCGAATTTTTAAACCCCTGTGACAATGTCGTCCAAGTGAGTTGTCCGGAAAGTCCAGCCTCCGGGTCTTTCCATTCGAAGGTGAACAGGGGTTGACTTTGAGGACTCAGTCTTAAACAAAAGAACGCATCTTCAAGGTCTAGTACCGTATACCATTGATGGCTTGGTGGTAGGGCACTTAGCAGGTTGTAAGGATTGGGCACAGTAGGGTGCAGGTCTCCCGTCCTTCGGTTAACTTCCTGTAGGTCCTGCACTGGCCTGTAGTCCCCCATGCCTGGCTTTTTTACTGGGAGGAGGGGGGTATTCCAAGGCGAGCGGCATGGTTTTAAGATGCCCAACCACAACAGTCTCTCTATATAGGGCCTGATGCCCTCCTTGGCCTCTTTGCTCGTAGGATACTGCCGGATTGACACTGGGGTGGCCGAGGGTTTTAAGTCAATTATTAGGGGCGGCTGGTTGACAGCCAATCCTACTCTGGCTGTTTCTGCCCAAGCTTGGGGAAAGTCCGTTAACCACTTGGGGTCTAGAGAGGTTGTATTAGCTGGGGTTTTTTCGAGCAATCGATGTTCATCCTCTAGGCGTATTGTCAGTATTTGAAGGGGCTGCCCTTCCGGGCCGGTGGCTGAAATCCCCTTATCATGAAAGTGAATTTGGGCCCCCGCTTTTGAAAGCAAATCCTGGCCCAATAGGGGGTATGGGCAGTCTGGCACCAGTAGGAACGAGTGAGTCACCTGTCTGGTGTTCAAATGGACCTTTCGTTCAGTTGTCCACCTGTACAATTTTCCCCCAGTAGCTCCCTGGACCCAAGAAGTTTTAGAACTCAGAGGGTCCCTGGCCTCAGTCAGCACTGAATGTTGTGCTCCCATATCTACCAGGAAGGTCACCAGGTGCCCCCCTACATCAAGAGTTACCCTGGGCTCGGGGGGGGGGGAGCTCCTGGCCCTGACTTTCCTAGTTGTCTTCCCCCAAGGGCAGGACTGGAACGTCTTTGTCTTAGTTTCCTGAGACAGCTTAGGGCAGTCCTTAACCCAGTGTCCTTTTTCTTTGCAGTAGGCACATTGGTCTCGTTCTACTCAGGGCCTTCTCTTGTCTCCCAGGGTCTTATTCTGTCCTGGCCTACCTTGCCCTGCACCCTGCACTACCGTGGCCAAAATTTTGGTTAATTCTCGATTCCGCTTTTTGTCCCGGATGTCCTCCCTCCGCTCTTGCTCTTTGCGTAATCTTTCTTCCTTTTCCTCCTGTGTTTCCCTTTTATTGAAAATTTTATCTGCCTCCTTTAGTAGGTCCTGTAATGTATACCCTTGCAGCCCGTCCAGTCGTTGTAACTTGTTTCGGATATTGGGAGCCGACTGTCCGATAAACGACATAATTACATCCGACTGGCATTCGGTGGCCAAAGGGTCAAAAGGGGTATACATGCGATAACCTTCCATTAAGTGTTCTAAGAACCCTGCCGGTGTCTCTTCCTGACCCTGGATAATCGCACGTACCTTGGCCAAATTGGTGGGGCGCTTCCCTGCCCCTTTGAGACCCGCTAACAGAGTCTGGCGATAGAGACGGAGTCGCTCCCTACCGGCCACGGTGTTGTAGTCCCACTCCGGGCGAGTCAGAGGGAAGACGTCTGCGATCTCGTTAGGCAGTTGGGTCGCCTGCCATCTGCTCCCAGCACATTTTTACGAGCCTCTAATATGACTCGCTGTTTTTCCTCCTTGAGGAGGGCCTGTAGAAGTTGCTGACGATCATCCCAAGTGGGTTGGTGAGTGAGTAGAATGGATTCAATTAATCCGGTCAAAGCTTGGGGGTCTTGGGAAAAGGAGGGATTGTGGGTCTTCCAGTTGTATAGGTCGGAGGCGGACAACGGCCAATACTGAATCTGGCCGGCCACCGACCTTAAAGGAAATGCTTGAGAGGACCAGACACGCTCCGGGCCACTGGCACGTTCCCTCCACAGCCACAGGCGAGTAGAGGGTGGGGAGGAGGAAGGCTCTAACCCTCCCATTTCGGTGGAGTCAGGGGAGAGTGGCTCAGGGTCCTGGGGTTCCTGAACCAACTGTGGTGGGACCCGAGGAGGGTACGGAGGAGGAGGGTCTAGAAGTAGAAGACTTTCCTGAGTGTCTGGGAGAACTGGTGGAGCTTTAGGCATAGGCTTAGGTGGTTCATTCAGGGGAAAAAGGGAAGAAGTGAGCGGCGCCGAAGGTAAAGGCACGAGTGGGGTTGAAGAAGGCCTGGGGCCTGGTTTCGGGGTCTGTGCCCCTAAAGAGGAAAGGGAAGGCTTAACCCATGTTGGGGGATCTCGGGAGAGACTTTCCCAGGTGACAATATAGGGCACTTGGTCAGGATGTCCATGCGGTCCTGGTTGGAAAACCTCTTTGACCTGTAAAATAGTAGTAAGGTTAAAAGTGCTGTCCCGCGGCCATCCGACCTCAAGGGAGGGCCACTCAGAGGTACAGAAAGCCAGCCACTTTTTCTTGCACACTTCCACTGACTGGTTATGTGCCCGTTTCGTGACCTCTTTCCAATGTCCTAAAGTCAGACTTAAAGGAGTAGTTAGTTGTTGACCCATGGGTAAAACAATTGAATCGACAACGTGCAGGACACCGAATAGACAGACGAACAGAACAAACCACACAAGTCGCGTGGCAACTGATCAGCAACAAACCAAAAGTACGAATCGAGAGGGGAGCGGCCGACCTTGGCCGGGTTCCCCGGGGAGGAGAGAGACCTGATCTCTCTCCCTCCCCCACAAAACTCTTGGAGCATCCTCCAGGGCGGGACCAGGGGTCTCAGGGCACGTCTGCCTCCCCCGCTGACCCAAGCGAAACAAGCCCTGTACAGGTACAGTTTTTCGAAACACCGAAGACATACACACACACAACAGCAACACGAAATGAAAACTGAGCTAGCTCTTACCTCCAGCCGAACCTGGAATTGAGTCTGGGGGCGCACCAATCCCGGACGAGCCCCCAAAATGTTAGACTCTTGGAGTGAGGATGCTAACACGTCGAGAGGCACACCCCAAAGACTCAGACTCCAGACCAGCTGATGCAAAAGCAAGAGGATTTATTTGGCGTCTGTGCAGACGGGCCTCCTGAACTCGGAGTCCAGAGAGCACCCCCAGCACAAAGCCACACGGTTTATATACCCGCAGCAACCAATCAAAAGCACTATAGTGTCCATGCACACAGCAGTCCAATCCTCGAGCTGATCATGTGAAGGGCATGCGTCTTCTGTCCAATCAGCTACGGGATCACATGGGAGGGCATGCGTCTTCTATCCAGTCAGCTACGGGATCACATGGGAGGCATGCACCTCGTCGCCATTTTGTTGTTTACTTCTTTAGTAGTTCCTTTCCCTGCCAGCGCCATCTTGTTCACCCTGAGGGGGACGATGTCTCGCTCCCTTTGTTCCCCTGGTGGGAGAGCGGCGTCCTGCTTCCCACACCATTATTTGAGTATTAGGAGGTATACAAACTGGGTTAGGTCTTAGCACAGCCAGGCACAAGTGTCTCAGCTAGCTGAGCATAGGGTCCCTTATTTTTATAGCTGCACCTAGTTTTAGCTTTGGGGGAAAAAGTTTAGGGCTGTAATTTTTAAACTTTAATTTTTTATTTGGGGCAAAGGTAACTTCTTGTTTTTAATGGTATTGGCTTAGGTCACTCCATCTTGGTTTGATTTTTAAGGTTCTTCACTTTGGAAAAGGCACCTGAACAATAAACAATTCCTGGGCAGTCTACTCTCCTTCAAACAGTGAACTAATACAATTTGCACGTGCAAGATGCACACAAAGGAGAGAACTCTTAAGATTGTTTCAGGCTGCACTATGAAACTTTCTCCCTTGTGTTCTCCTTTGTGTTTCATTACTGTTAACTGTGGATGATATTAAAATGCTGCACAATGTGAACAGGAAAAACTATAAACTGTTTTGCATGGGCCAGTTTTTCATGACAAATGAATTTTAGCTTTAAACACGTATACATGTTCAATGTTTGTGAGTTGTGTTCCTAAGGAAGGTCTGTTTTGGTGCATTGTCCCAGAGAAGCAGGAGCAGTCAGTGTCAGGCTGTTGGATCTGACTTACTGTAGCAGTGACAGTGTGCTTCTTACGTAAAATTTATATTTAACCACAAGAGAAAAGTGTGTCACTGGGGAAAAATGCATATAACTATGTGTTTGCATATATAACTTTATTCTGTAGATTAGACTTTATATAATTTGTTTATTTAGTTTCAGTTCAGGGCAAAAGGAGAAAAATGAAGCTTGAGAATTTGCAACAGATTTTATTTTTGCTGCCTCTTTACTAGGTGTTAACTGAGGAATCAAACATATCAGGACTGATTCATATGTACTTTGAGCAGGTAGTATCAAAATAAGCATTTGTTATTCACAACAAAGAGGAGTTTGAAAGATCACATTTTCAGATTCAGCCTCTCTCTGTGATGTTTAATTGTTGTAGTAACTTAAATTGGAAGAATCTCTTAGAATAGGAGAAATATTGTTCCCTGGTGATGGACTTCATCCTAAGTAAGAATGTTATGGAGAATAAAAATTGACTTCCTTTACTCCACCATTAAGATTGAGCCTATTAAATTTCCATGTGAAATATAACTTTTAAGAATTTAACAGAGTCTTACAGGAAAACAAAAATTTGCTTGGTAATTAATGTTGTCATCTATCAAAAAAATTGATGTATCTAAAGGACACCACACTGGTACATTGAGAATTGATTCACTGCTCTACTCTACATTTTCTAGCGACAGTGACTTCAATAATCATACCGTATTAGTGAGTATTTCAGTTTACCCTTGCCTACTGTAGTGTTTATTGCAAATCCTAAGGATTTTGTAAAGATTTTATTTTATACCAAAAATGTCAAACGCTGTGCTTTAAGAATATCCATGTTTATAAAGTGTCCACGTTTCTGGTAATGCAATGCCTACCATCTTATGGTAGTTGATTTATTTTTTATTTATTACGTATATTTTTGGTATCATGGGTGCTTGAAACAATGATGAAAGCTGTTAGTGTATTCTGAAGCAAGTGCTCTACTAGCCTTTTCCTCTTTCCATTTTTAAAACACATTCTCAAAATAGGCACAGATTATTTCCAGAGCAATCTTGCCTTTCAATTTATCAGTCTGTTGTCGCTTCCCTTTTGTCACCCAAATAGGGCTTTTCCTTAGAAAGGAGTGAGTGGTCTAGGTTAATCCTCCACCTGTGGCTGCGGCGCCGGCACCCCAGGTTCTAGTTCCGGTCGGGGTGCTGGATTCTGTCCCAGTTGCTCCTCTTCCCGTCCAGCTCTCTGCTGTGGCCAGGGAGTGCAGTGGAGGATGGCCGAGTCCTTGGGCCCCTGTACCGCATGGGAGACCAGGAGGAAGCACCTGGCTCCTGGCTTCGGATCAGGGCAGCGTGCCGGCCGCAACGTGCTCGCTGTAGCGGCCACTTGGGGGTGAACCAACGGAAAAATGGAAGATCTTTCTCTCTATCTCTCTCTCTCTTACTGTCTAACTCTGCCTGTCCAAAAAAAAAAAAAAAAAAGGAAAGTAGTGAGTTGTTTTAAATACATGTTTAAAAAATGACCATTGGGTAACTGTTCTTTAAGATATAAAAATACAATATTTGTGCCTTTTTCATTTTTGAATTTTAATATATATTGGTTTTTGGAACACAAACAGGTGCCATACTATGGCTTGACAGTGTTATCTCCTTAAATAGTCATGTGTTACTGTCTTGTAATTGGAGAACCTTGCATGAATTATGTGATTGTGTGTATGTGTGTGTATGTGTGCACCTGTGTTTGCTTGGGCTTGTGTGTGGTTTGTTCAAGAGTGTATTTCTGAAACTAGGACTCAGTTTAATGTTGAAAGTTCAGGTTGGTTGAAATATTCCACTTAAATGTGATTTATTTGGGGGCACAGTTAACTGACAGAGATTATAATTCTTAAAAAATGTGTTCAATTTACTGCATGACAAAATGTGAAGATAGTGCCTTTTAAGGTCATCAGTTATAACAGAATTAAATATTATCAAAGATCCCTTACAAAGCTGTTATGAACATTTTTATTTAATTTTTGGCTCTATCTGAGAACTTAAATTGTCAAAAGTATAATTACTAACTAACCCACCCATTTAAGTTTTGTGTATAAATTTAAAATCAAAGCAGAATTCTTTATAAAATTGTGGATCATAGAAAGTGCTACTAAAATACAAGGAATCTGATAAGTTTGTGAATATCCATCAGCAATTTTGCATTTCTCCTAGCCAGTTATACTCTCAAAGAGGTTATACTCTCTGACTTGGATAGCATGCTCTTGATTGGGTAAAATTGAAATATTCAGTGTATTCTTTCAAAAAAATGTAGGTGGGTACTTGGGTTTGTTTTAAGTGTTCTCAAATTTTAAAGACAGCATTTTCAGTACACATAACAGTATTTTGCAAACCTTTTTATATGGATTATGAGCTGTACTTTAACTATTCATGGAATGATGTTAATGTTAGATCCAGTTGAGCGAATATTGAGTGCCTACCATTTGCAAGACTTCTTCACTAAGAATGAAATAACACCTTGTTTTCTGTTTGCAGTATGTGAACTTTATGTTTAAAAAGGAATTCTTATATTTAAATCTTTGTTGTTAGATTTTATCATTGTAACTGTAACCCAGTTAATTTTGCATTCAGTTTTTAAAATGAAGATATAACTTATTTGAGTCCCATTTTTGAAAATAAAATTCTGCCAAAGTTATTTAACTAATTATGGTGGAAATTAATTTTCAAGATTCGTTTTTAACCAGTTGATGTTAATGAGAAACATACATTTGTTGCTGAAAATATTTTTTGTATTTCAGCACATTGAGTTAAAATGAAGTTATTATTACTTATTCAAGAAAAAAAGAAAAAATGGAGCTCGGAAAGTGGTTGCACTAAGTGAGAGAGATAGGGATTTAAGAGGAACATATGGTGACTTGCAAGAGCTGGTCATGGCCGACATCTAGACCTCCATGAGGGTTACACAGTGCATTTAAAGAAAATGCAGTGAGCTGTGAACTGATGAAGGGTAGTCATTGCAGTTTTAAAAATGGGTAAACATGGTTTAGAAAAAATTATAGCTAGTGGTTTCTCTATTAAAGGATACTTTTAACAAAATATTTTTTTTTTTTTTTTTTTTTTTTTTTTTTTATTTTTGACAGGCAGAGTGGACAGTGAGAGAGAGACAGAGAGAAAGGTCTTCCTTTGCCGTTGGTTCACCCTCCAATGGCCGCCGCTGCAGCCGGCGCACCGCGCTGATCCGATGGCAGGAGCCAGGATCCAGGTGCTTTTCCTGGTCTCCCATGGGGTGCAGGGCCCAAGCACCTGGGCCATCCTCCACTGCACTCCCTGGCCATAGCAGAGAGCTGGCCTGGAAGAGGGGCAACCGGGACAGAATCCGGCGCCCTGACCGGGACTAGAACCCGGTGTGCCGGCGCCGCAAGGTGGAGGATTAGCCTATTGAGCCACGGCGCCGGCTTTTAACAAAATATTTTCTGAGAAAATGTTTTCTTAAAATAAATGAAGATGAAAGACAGAGCTTCGAGAAAGGAAAATTTCTCCAGAGTTGGATTTTTTCACAGTTTATATAACACAATTTTCTTAAGCTGATTCTACTAACATAGTGTAACCACCAAGTTACTACAGAACATTGGTAAAACCCTGCAAGACACTGGCATAGGCAAAGAGTTCTTAAAAAAGACCCCAGAGACAAAGGCAAACAAACCAAAATTGACAAGTGAGATTACATCAAAGTGAGAAACTTCTTCTTCTTTTTTTTTTTTTTTTTTTTTACAGGCAGAGTGGACAGTGAGAGAGAGAGAGACAGAGAGAAAGGTCTTCCTTTTGCCGTTGGTTCACCCTCCAATGGCCGCCGCGGCCGGTGCACAGCGCTGATCCGCTGGCAGGAGCCAGGATCCAGGTGCTTCTCCTGGTCTCCCATGGGGTGCAGGGCCCAAGCACCTGGGCCATCCTCCACTGCACTCCCTGGCCACAGCAGAGGGCTGGCCTGGAAGAGGGGCAACCGGGACAGAATCCGGCGCCCCGACCGGGACTAGAACCCGGTGTGCCGGCGCCGCAAGGCGGAGGATTAGCCTAGTGAGCCGCGGCGCCGGCCAGTGAGAAACTTCTGTACTGCAAAAGAAATTACTCAGGAGAGTGAAGTGGCAATCGACAGAATGGGAGGAACTATTTGCAAACTATGCAATTGATAAAGGATTAATAACAAGAATGTATAAACAGTTCAGGAAACTCCACAACAGCAACAAAAACAAACATCCCAGTTAAGAAATGGGCAAAGGACTAAAACAGGCATTTTTCAAAACAGGAAATCCAATGGCCAACAGACACATGAAAAAATGCTCAGGATCACTAGCCATCAGGGAAATGCAAATCAAAACCATAAGGAGGTTTCACCTCACCCCTGTTAGAATGGCTTTCATATTGTAGCGGCTGTTTGGGGAGTGAACCAACGGAAGAAGTCCTTTCTGTCTCTCTCTCTCTCTCACTGTCTAACTCTGCCTGTCCAAAAAAAAAAAAAAAAAAAAAAAAAAAAAGAAAAAAGAAAAAAAGAAAAAAAGAATAAACAACAAAGGTTGGTGAGTATGTGGGAGAAAAGATAACCTAATCCACCGTTGGTGGGAATGTAAACTAGTACAGCCATTGGGGGAAAACTACGGAAATACCTCTAATAGCTGAAAACTAGATCTCCCATATGACCCAGCCATCCCACTCCTGGGAATTTACCCAAGAGAAATGAAATAAGCATATGAAAGAGTTATCTTTACTCCCATGTTTACTGCAGCTCAATTCACAATTGCCAAGATATGGAAGCAGCCCAAATGCCCGTCAACTGAAGACTGGGTAAAGAAATTATGGGATATATACACCATGGAATACCACACAATGGTTAAAAAATGAAATCTGGCCATTTGCAACAGAATGGATAAAACTGGAAAACTTAATCAGATAACAGTTTACATCACTAATAAAAATTTATATGGCAGGGGGCCAGCACTGGGGCCTAGTGTATTAAGCCGCTATCTACAGTGACTGTTTCTGATATGGACACTGGTTTGAGTCCCGGCTGTAGTATTCCCAATCAACTCCCTGCTAATGGCCTGGGAAAACAGGAATAGATGATCCAAGTACTTGGGCCACCCATGCGGGAAACATGATGAAGCTCCTGGCATCCCACTTCAACCTGGCTCAATCCTGGATGTTTTGGCTATTTGGGGTATAAACCAGTGGATAGAAGATATTTCTCTCCCTGTTTCTGAAACTATGTCTTTCAAATAAATAAGTATATAAATCTTTCTTTAAAAACTTCATAGAGCATCAAGATCAAATTTTTCATACGTAGTAAAGTAACAAATGGGAATTTGGGGATAAAAATTACAGAGAAACTGATGCTAAGAAGACCCACGATATTAGTAGACTTTTGTTCTAGCTGGATGTTAGGAGGAACATTAGAGATAATGGAAATTAATTCTCAACATTTTAAGTTTATGTAGAGGAAAGATAAATTCCACCAGGTATTATAAGCCATCTTTAAATTCTGGAGCAAAGAAAAAGATACTAACAGCAAATTGAGTTTGATGCAGTTAAAAGCCAGTGAGGAAAATACTAAATCATACACAGTTTGTTTTTACCTGCAGATTTCTATGAGGAGGCTTCATACATTTGTGGGGAAATGGAAGAAAAAGAGAATGTACATTATCCCTTAAGTTTTTGAAGCCCCCTTTATCTTTGAATTCAAGCACTTGGGGCTCTTTCACCCATGTAGCATACCCAAATTCAGTTTTAGCCTCCTGGAAAATGAAGTGTTAAGGCTGATGGATAAAAAGGATGTGTGTGCTAGTAATGATGCCGTGTGTTTTGATTATCTTTAGCAGTCTACAGCAACAGCCCTCAGTAATAATTTTGCCACCTTGTCTTAGAACACTGCAGGTATGTCTCATGACCCCTTGTGCAGTCCCATTCTCCACTCAATCTGAGCTTGACCTTGCACCTTGTACCTCTAGACTCTGACCAATGGGTCATTAGCAAATGTGAGGCAAGTGGCAGTTTGAACAGTATTTGGCATCCCTGTTGTAGGAAACTCCTTCCTGCGTATCCAGGAGGCAGGGCTTCTGTGTTCATGCCTCAGAGATCAAGAATGAACCACCATAAATTGAAAGACTCCTAAGCATCTCTGGTGGCATTGGCAGTTCACCGAAAGCCCTTGAGTGACCCAGATGAAACCACAAGGACTATCCTGCTAAGCCTCCAACAAAGCACTAATCACGAGCAAATAAAATGATTAACAAAGTCAGTAAATTGTGTAGTGAATTTTATTTCATCAAGAAAAGACAAACAATAGAATAAATGTAGATTGTCAGATGATAGTTTGAAAGCTGAACTTGTGTACTACTGAATTTTCTTCATCAAATTACTAGACTTTATCAAATGTTATTGTATAGTCATTAAGCTGAATTAGCTTGTTTGAGAAAATACAGTTTGTAATCAGACATTTTATTTATACATTCCTTGATGCAATAGTGAATTACTATGTATATATGTTTTAGTATATTGCAAGTCATCATAAGAATATACAAAATATTAAAAGTAGTTATAGAACTGATAAAAAGCACATGTAACAATGTTTGGTCCTGTGTTTCTTGCTCTATAAAATATTTGAAATTTTTGGAGGATAGTTCTAATTTCATACTTTAGTCTCATGAAAAATTAACATTTTCAGAATAACAGTAGTTCATATTTTTAGTTGTCTCCATATTTGATCTTTAAATCCTTTTCTAATAAAGATAAAATTGGAATTTTATAAAGTAGATATTAATGAACAGTCAGATATTCATTAATGAATAGTCAAATAGGTATTAATGGTAAGTCAAACAAGTATTACTGAATAGTCGAATAGGTATTAATGAAGAATCAGATAGGTATTAACGAAGGGTCAAATAGGTATTAATGAAGAGTCAAATATTCATGAATGAATAGTCAAATAGGTATTAACAATAAGTCAAACAGGTATTAATGAAGAGTCAAATATTCATGAATGAATAGTCAAATAGGTATTAACAATAAGTCAAATAGGTATTAATGAAGAGTCAAATATTCATGAATGAATGGTCAAATAGGTATTAACAATAAGTCAAACAGGTATTAATGAAGAGTCAAATATTCATGAATGAATAGTCAAATAGGTATTAACAATAAGTCAAACAGGTATTAATGAAGAGTCAAATAGGTATTAATGAACAGTCAAATAGGTATTAACAAATAGGTATCAATAAAGAGTCAAATAGATATTAATGAACAGTCAAATAGGTATAAATGAACATTATTAATGAACATTTGAATATACGTGGCACAATAGAGTTTTTTGAAACAAGGCACTTTTATGTATCTGTCATTTTGTGGTTCCATTTACAGTTACAAGATATACTGTGAGTCTTGAATATTTTTAAATGATTCAGGTCATGAATTTGTCTAGGAAGCCTATTCGTTCAGAAAGATTCCTTTGGTTTTTGGGATGTCATCTGTATATTTAAAATTATATGTATATAACATAAAGGAATGTACAAGCTGATCTGTTAAATGGAATTTCAGTTGATGAAAAATAAGTTAGTACTGGAAATATTAAAAAAATTTGGTTGGAAGATGTTCTCAAATTTGTCTAGGGAAAAGTAAACAGTACACAGAGAATGGTGTAAGAAGATAATGAAAAGCATAAAAATAGAATTTAACAGAAGAGTTTTTTGGTCAAAAATGTTTAAAGTCATGCAAATATTTCTGATAAGATGTATTTTCAAAAATATTTTCATGCATTGTGAAAATGTTTGTGAAAATACATCATCAGAAATATTTGCATGACTTTAAAAATTTTTGATCAAAAAACTCCTGTTAAATTCTATTTTTGTTGTTTTTCATTTAATCTTTCTATACCCTTTTCGCAGGAACCATTTCAAGTCTCCCTTGTGTGTGGGTGATGGTAGAACTAAGATCTAACAAGATGAGCTCATATGTTAGAAGCTGCTCACTGAATGTTCCATTAAGACCAAGTAATGTTAAACATGAAGCAAAAGTTGGTGTGATTTTCAGGTGTCTCATGACCAGTCTTTTACCAAGAAATCCATTTTATCTAGAAACAAGTTTAAGATGTCAACTAAATTTAGAAAATTCCAATAAATATTTTTAAAATGGTCTTAGAATAATGTGAAAAGAAGTGTATGGTTAAAAAAATCATATGTAAGTATGTAGATGTTCAGAAAGTAGAATACAGAGTTAGAGGGGCCCATACTAGATGTGGCCTTTCCATCCTTCCGTATTTGGGTCTTCTAGTCGATGTATGGGACTTCCATGAGCTCAGAGTCAACAGATAGCTCCATTTTCTCTGTTGAATGAAAAACAAAACTGTTGCCTTACTACCTATAGTCTCAAATTCTACAGTCCTCCCACTTGCTAATGAATTGGATTTTCCTAAATATTTCTCCTAAGCAATGAGGTGAATGTCATAAAGTCAGGAAAGGGCACAAATGTGAAGGAACCAAAATAGATATCCTCAAAAATTTCACCTAAACTCTACCCTATTAAATGGAGAACCTGTAGGCTATCACTGGCTAGATTTGACTAGTACTAGTTAGTTTAAGTTTCAAAAAAAAAAAAAAACAACAAAAAACTCTAGTAGCCCTATGAATTCTCCTTTTATCCCAATTAAATTAATTTTCAGCCACTATCTCATTCATCCCTTAAAGCAATCCTAAAATTTAGGTATTGCTTTTATCATTATTTTAGAGGTCAAAAACAGGCTGACAGAGAACAAGGTGACGTTAATGTAGCAAGAAAAATATGGCACAATGTTTTACATTTTGGAAAGCAGACCATCAGAACAGAGGCTATTCTGCTCAAGGACTGTGATTCTCTCAGAGACTTTTCCATGGATATTGAGAATATCCATGGGCCTCAGGGCTCACTGAGTAAGAAGGGGGAAGGAAACTAAAAGGCAGTGCTGTGAGCCCCTGAGTTGAGTTTAATCTGGAGCACATTGATTATATGTACAGAGAACTTCAAACTCCTTGTGAAAAATGGAATTAAAATTATTATATTTTGCTGACAAAAGTGTATTGGTTCAAAAAATGATTTTCCCTGTATATGGAAAGTAAATATGAAAAAACAAGGCCTGAATTTCAAAATATTTTCCATGAAAATAAGATAAAACTGTAGTGTTGACTGGATTACCTGGATTCCTTCTACCCATGGGGGAAAGCTTCAGTAAGCTCCTTGCTTCTGACTTTGGACCAGTGCAACCCTACATGATATATTCCGTAGAGGAACAAACCAGTGAAAGGGATCTCTCTCCCAGAGGGTTTCTGTCTTAACTTAATAAATTTTAAGAAGCTAACATTTTAAATTCCATTAATCTTCATACTTGCTGAGATAATCTCATACAGGGTTCCACCTACCTGTTGTAGGATCCTAGCCCCTATGTCATACAATGTGATGTATCTTGAGGCAGCTAGAATTGACACTATTTTCTGAAATCCAGTGCATCACTTTACATTTTTCTTTTCTCACAACAATGTGAAAACTATCCTTGACCTATGAGCCATACTTTGAACAAGGAGCAGAAGGGTTCCTGGGTCCCGCCTCACTGCCCTTTGGACATGCCGTGAACTCCAAGGGAGACACTGTATAAGAATCTCTCATGACACAGCGGTTGTCTCCGTTTGTAATCAAGGGAAGTTAAATGATTCATTATACCTAAAAGTTCCTGGAAGGTGTCCTCATATTTTGTGTGTCCTCCCATGCAGGAGGTCAGTCTATGTCCGAAAATATTTTTGCAGTTATCAATTAGAAATTGTATAAAAGTAACCTGTTAGATGAAGGGCAACAAGAGAATGCACTTTTACATTTGACATTGCTATAAATCATAAAACACATAAGAATCTTATAACCCACGAAAATATGTCATTTAGAATTCTAAAACAAATGAGTTGACATAAAATATATGAACCCATTTTTTGTATGAAATGATATGAAAAATCCAGAGTACTTGGACACAAATCTTTTAAAAAGAATAAATTCCTGACCATTGAAACAAAATGGGTGCAATGAGATATCAATATGCTTAGTGCAATAAGTCAGACTCAAAAAAGAAACAAAATATGTTTTCTCTGATTTGTGATAGTTAATATATAGAATATAAAATTTTACTTGTATTGTAAAATTGGGATCTTTCAATCTGATAATTTTTTATAGCCCTTCTCTTTTTTCATGCAAAAGAGTGGTCTTTTTGTTTTTATTTTTTGAACTGTTAGTTTAGTGGAGCAATAAGCCTTTTGGTATAAAGTAATAGAAATATCACAAAAACTAAAAAAAGAAAGAAAGGGAAGATGTAAGGAAGGAAGGATTCATTATATTTTTATAATTGTCTCTATAAACTACATTAAATCTCTTTACATTTACAAAAATATAAATAAAAATAAATACTTCTTATCAGTACATTACCATTATCATTTGTGGTTCAAATTATTTGCAGTTTTATTTCATTGACTACCTGTTTACAGATAGTATCATTTCCAATAAGTCTTCCTAATGATATTTGAAGTGAAGATATATATCACCATTCCCAAATTTGTAACATACCCAACAAAAACATCCGTGGGAAATTCCCTTCTTAAGTAAAGTATCCTCCGTTTGCAAACAGAGCATCAGTGAATCTTTTCAACAAGAAAGGAGAATGTCGAAGGAAAATTTCTGCCTGCCTAACTGTGGTTTCTCCTGTGCATTGTCCTGCCTCCCCTCAACCTTGCTTGTTGTGATTCCATGGGAATGTTCTTGGTTTTATATTCCACCAGCAGAGATGAAATCAGAACCTGCCATCTCTCTTAATGAATCACAATCAGCAGAATAAGCTACATGCAGGTGACCACTTTTGTTCAGGCCACCTTGGTTGTGTCACCTGTTCCTGCTGTCAATACAATTGACATTACTTGGGTAAGAATGTCTAAAATGGAAATTTTGTATACTGTTGTGCAATCTCCAGTGGTGAAACCCAGCCTTGACCTTGTTTTGTCCAACCTCAATGTCTGAGTTCATTTCTAGCACATGGTATGACATTGCTCTCTGTGGTAGTATGTCTCTAGTGACTGAATCCTGCATGAGAAAGGTGGAGTGACTCAGTGCACTCAGTGTCCTGGTGAATACACCACCTGGCCACAGCTGCCAAATGGATGAATGACTCTTTCCCTTCAGAGCAGCGCTTAAAGAATGCAATTAAAAATGGTCCCTCAGAATTAATACATAGGATTTCAGATTCACAGTAGAGACATTACCTTTCTCTGCCATTCCATTCCTCTTTCTGAGTTTCTGGAAATGGGTATCCAAAGAAGGCTTGGGGTCATGTACAGTGACAAATCAGACGATGTCATATTATTGAGTGGTGAATGTGCAATCTTGTATAAACACGTGAATAAGCATTCTAAGAGATGAAAATTCATTTTGGGCAGCTGATCTAAAAGCCTAAACACAGAAAAAGATACTCATAAAGCAAGAATTTAACTCAGAACCTTGCACTCACGTACAAAATGGAGCACATTGTTTTGGTCATATTGACAAAACAAATGAAAATAGAGAAGAATATATCAGTGTCATCAAAATATTGTCTTCAATGTTTCTGTGAATACATTATATCATGTCTTAAATTGAGTAAATATTATAAATAGCTAATATAACATAAATATATTTAAAATATCTGGCATTCCAGAATGTGCCAAACTGAAAATCTGTTAATAACAAAAATTGCATAGAATGGTTTCCTTAGGTATATAAGGTAGTAGCAAAGCAACATTGCTTTGTGGCAAGCACTCAAAGGCTATCAGTTATCTTAGAAACTCACTCGAGGTATGAATATGTCTGTAAATTTTTCAATGAATTCAATTCCTGAGCTCCAGTAGACTGGTGGGTCTATGTTGACAATGTTACACAAAGAACACTGGTCAATTCTCTTACATGTGCATTGAACCAAAGGATTTCTTTTTGTATAAATATATTATAGTCCAAGATGTGTACAAAGGTCAAGTCCTCCAGGTTCATAATAAGAGAGAAACATGGACTCACTGACAATATCAAGGCCTCCTTTCCTTTCTAATCTAGCCTCCACGTGTATCACCCAATGAAGTCCTTTTCCTAAGTCATGAGTTGACTCGATACATTGATAAAACAGAAGCTGATATTTTTCCAGGTTTGCACTGGTTGTGTTTTTCAGACATATCCAGGGGAATAGGTATTACGTCATCACCTGAGAATTATGGAAATTCTGGCCTTCTTATTCCCTTCATCCATAGCACCAATAAACTTTTCATACAGCTCGGTCGTAAACAAGCTTCCAGGTATACTTTGGAGAAAATCCTTACACAGATTGAAAAATATTATTATTCTCATGGAAAACATTCTTTGGCTAACCTACTGAGAAAGCATGTACTTAAAGCATGCAGTTGTGTCTACAGAGTTTGGTTACAATTCTTCCATGACTTGTACATGCAGAAGCAGGGGCTTGGACTTAGCCCAATAACACAAACATGAAAATCAGTATCTGGGGAGTGTTGAGAATGAAGACAAATTCTCCCATTACCCCACACTCCCTGTTGGTGTGCATTGTAGCCAACTTTTCTGGTGATGAATCACCCTTATGCTAGTTCTTGACAAGTAATAATCACATATATTTTGCCTGTTTTTCAGGCCCTGTGATTTTAATTTTTAGCTGCAGAGATTCTGGACCAAATGAAACAAATACCCACAATGATACATGCATTCACTTACACATGGAAAGTGAGAATGGCACTTTCTGATTTGCGTTGTGTTTTCTCCTTAGAACAAAGTTCTCATAATATCCTCACCCTTCTTTATAGACAACCCATTCTCTGCTATTAAGCAGGTTCTTGCACAAGTTACCAAAGTTCTATATTTATTTACAGGTTCTTCATTACAACTCTTTGGTTGATACATGTACAATACCCACCAGAAAGAAACGTAATCATAATTGAGATATATCATCATTCCATGCTTTGGTGTATCAGCGTTGTTTCCTATGAGGTGTCATGAAAAATTGGTCCATATGTGACTGATTTTGATAATACCATGACCTTGAACACATGGGACTTCAGGGAGTGTGTGTAAGCATGAGAGGAAGTTATCACATTGCCTTACTCATTTTATTTGAACTGGAATCACTATAGAACTCATGAAACATCCTGATACTAACTGATGGAAGAAATGCCTCCAGGCAACTGTCGTGAATGTAGCCCAGTGATGGTGTACTCACTCCAATGTTCACTGTGGTAGTCTTTGTCACATAATGTTCACTGTGGTAGTCTTTGTCACAGATACAGTTTGGAGGACTGAGGACAGAGGAATGAAGAAAAGAGCCACAGTACCAGTCCTCTAGTACATTATAATGTCACCAGTGTGGAACAGTCCATTGCAGTTCTGTGTGTCTACTGCATTCCCATGGAGTGGGCCCCACGTTTGGAGTAAAGTAATCCTTAAGCTCTTCCTGTCTGTGAGGGTTTGGTAGATGCAGAGGCACATTTGATGGGTGTGCACCACACTAACATGCACTTACAACCAGTGTTTTCTCTCTGGTGTTCTGGATCCCATGACCCAGATCCCACATGTTAAGTTAGTGAGTTAAACCAAATCACAGCCCAAGCAGAATGTACTGAAAGTATTTTCTGCAGGGTCTCAGCATCTAGGCACTTGGGCGGCAAAGTCAATGTGGTCCTGACCATGTGAACAAGTTCAAGTCCACACCTATCTGCTGCTTACATAACATGGGACTACCAAGGACCAGATGCAAAATCAGAGAGATACTTCTGAGTCTGGCTGGAAAATGAAATCCATTTCACCATACATTACCATACAAAGGGTAATATTTAACTTGTTTCTATTATTTTGGTCAGAGCACAATAGTAATCAAACAAGTCATTATCAACCTATGGCAACTTATCTTACGGTCAAATAGGAATGGGCAAAAGGAAAGCCCAAGTTTCTCATCCTAACGTAACTTTCAAAACTGGTTTGTATTCTGATCATTGTCTGACTATTTGTGCACTGCTGTCAACAAGTTTCAAAATGGATTCATTCAGTTCGTTTTTATTTTTTATATTTCCTTGCATAGAATTGGACCTGCATATCTGTGATTCAGCTTTGTCATTTCAAAGTGGATTTACCTTACATAGACATCAGTTGAATGTTCAGAAGTCCAAACAATTGAGGCTACCACACATACATTTGTAGTCAGAATTATCATTACAAACTTGTGGTGGGTACAAGTTCCTCTATGCAACGGGTAGTGTGGTAAACATGGTAACTACTAAGCAATATACCAGAGGAGGTAAAAGTGGGTGAATGAAACCATCTTTTCCCATGCCAACTTGGAAGTGAAGGCATAGGAGATAGGCGAAAGCAGGGTGATGAAATCAATGGAGGTTTTGATGGCTCATGTAACCGTGTATTGAATCGCTGGAAGATAACTGTGTGCTTACAATAGCTCACTGATCCAACATGTTGATAGAAGTTTTCTTTTGGAAATTGTGCCTTTGTTGGAAATTGTGACTGTCATCAAATGCAGGATGCATCTTGGTCAGCGTTCTGAATATAAAAGGGCATGTTTTGATCTTCTTTTATGAACAGTATTAATAACGCTTTGATTTTTTTTTTGACAGGCAGAGTGGACAGTGAGAGAGAGAGACAGAGAGAAAGGTCTTCCTTTGCCGTTGGTTCACCCTCCAATGGCCGCCGCTGCAGCCGGCGCACCACGCTGATCCGATGGCAGGAGCCAGGATCCAGGTGCTTTTCCTGGTCTCCCATGGGGTGCAGGGCCCAAGCACCTGGGCCATCCTCCACTGCACTCCCTGGCCATAGCAGAGAGCTGGCCTGGAAGAGGGGCAACCGGGACAGAATCCGGCGCCCCGACCGGGACTAGAACCCGGTGTGCCGGCGCCGCAAGGTGGAGGATTAGCCTATTGAGCCGCGGTGCCGACTCTGATTTTTTTTGATATAGGGTACTTAGGATGAAGAACAGCAGCATAGTTTCTCTGATCATCAAGGAAAACATATGCATCCCCTGGGGTTTTGAATAACCAAATGAGTGGCTCCTTCTTGTGTAGTTTGTAACATGTTTTACAGGATCTAAATATTTTGGTCTAATATTGTTCTTGAGCAATCATGGTAGAGAAGATCCATCATAATGGCTTCAGTTCTGTTCACAGACACTTTCTTACCTTTAAAACAGTTGCCACGACATAAGGTGATTCAGTCGTCCAATCTACCTCTTCCCCAGAATTCAGTTTTTCTCTGAGGGTTCTATATGCTTGGCCATTGACACATTTTTTGAAGATGCCCTCTGTGATGGAACCCTTCAGATCAATGAAGTAAAGCATATCCTGTGTGTAAGATAAGTGAAATAAATGCATCACATCTCATAGCAGGAGCACAGCTCAAGCATAACCTTGTTTGACAAGAGTACACAAGGTTACAGATCTGTAAGGTATGGGATGGAATCAACTTTAAAAAATTCCATTTGGTGTCTGATTACTTTTTGTACCATCAATCATACATATTTATAGTCCATCATCATAAAATAAAACATCCTTGATGCTTGAGTTCACAATCGGTTCTTTCCCAGGGGATTTATACATTTAAATCCAAGTTCTTTGCTTCAAATCCTCCGTGGAATCATCCTATCATAAGTTATCATTTTGTGCTCATTCATTCTGAATATCCTTGTAATCTCTAAGTGCAGACATCTTTTTACTAGACCAATTTCTAAGTTTTATCCCCCGGGATAGATTACATACCCCATTCCTATGCATCACTAATTCCAATTCTTTGTAACAAAGTTGAAACCTGTTTCCTCTCAAAGCCTTTTCTCATTAGATTACCTTCTCACTGATCTTTCATTTCTTATTGTGTTCAGCGAAAAAAGAGAGTGTCAGAGTAAGGTGTCTTAAGGCATTTTGAATCAATATGACATTTATTTGCTCAGTGATATGGGGCACAATACATTATTAAGGCTTTCCTTTATCCCTTCCATGAGGGTAGAGATGATCATATTCATATATTTGCTTTGCATTAATGCTGAAAGAGGGAAGGACTAGCATATTTATGATGTACTTAACATGATGAATTTTTTTAAATGGAGACTGAAATTCCCTACATCATGTAGTGAACACAGAGAGACACTGGAAATGCTATAGATGCTATTGCTGGCATTATAATCTTGTATTTTCAGTGATAAATGTCCAAATTTGTACCTTTAAACTGGCAAGTTCTGCTAGAATGGAAGAACAAAGTCATGCCAGTAGATGAGTTTTTTATGTTCAAACAGTTGAGAGAAACATGAAATCAAAGATAGAGGTGTTCAGTTGTAAGACTGAATAGTCTGGTTGAGAGGAAATAATAAGATATTTTCAGTTAGAAAAGGATTTAAATACTGAAGATGCCAAGAGGATAATGTGAGGGGAGGTGGGCTCACTGCTATTGAGAGACACCCAGACCAATTTGTACAGGTGTATGGGAGATTTTGCTGAAGCCAGTGACATTGACAAGAGAAATGTTTCTATCTGTTTTTATTTGTTTACTACATGTCACCACAGGGCAATATGTAAATCAGATTATTTTGCATTGAAAAAAATGCCAGCCAAAGTAGGTCGTTGCTCAATGATTTGTCAATTTGGAGACAGGCATGGATGACGAATCTATTCTTCAACAATGTTTGACTATAGAAGACCAAACTGGCCGGCGCCGTGGCTCACTAGGCTAATCCTCCGCCTTGCGGCGCCGGCACACCGGGTTCTAGTCCCGGTCGGGGCGCCAGATTCTGTTGCAGTTGCCCCTCTTCCAGGCCAGCTCTCTGCTGTGGCCAGGGAGTGCAGTGGAGGATGGCCCAAGTGCTTGGGTCCTGCACCCCATGGGAGACCAGGAAAAGCACCTGGCTCCTGGCTCCTGCCATCGGATCGGCGCGGTGCGCCGGCCGCGGCGGCCATTGGAGGGTGAACCAACGGCAAAGGAAGACCTTTCTCTCTGTCTCTCTCTCTCACTGTCCACTCTGCCTGTCAAAAAAAAAAAAAAAAAGAAGACCAAACTGAGACTTACCAAAATTGACTTTGGAAGTTTGCTGTTTTCACACACATCTTGTAAGAGTGATCCAAATAGCTGTGCTTGGTGGGCTGTGGGCCGAGCAGGTTCTGGTCCCACCCTGTTTTGATTTCTGCCCAAAACACGCGGAGTTAGCCACTTTTTAATGGAATGTTGTTTTTGAGCTGGCTTCAGCTGAGGATCTGAGGAATAAGGCACAGTTTGGAGGGAGAGTTCAATTAATGGAATCTCATTTCCATCATTTCCAGATGACTGCATGTTTCCAGAAATTGCTAGAAAAAGCAATGAGCAATGGTTGTGATGAAAGGTCTACATACTGAAATTGGTTCAAAGCACTCATGTGTTGTGGATCTATTCTTGTCTCCCCACCTCTCATGAATTGGTAGTGAAACCCAGACTTGAAAGACTCAGGTTCAGTTCGTACTGTGGGAATACTTTCTAGACAGTTCCAGCTACAATCGGTTGTACTGCATTAAGAAGTGCTTAGTGGCCAGCTTGGTGGCACAGTAGGTTAATCCTCTGCCTGCAGCGCCAGCATCCCTGGGCCCTGGTTCTACTCCTGGCTGCTCCTCTTCCAACCCAGCTCTCTGCTATGGCCTTGGAAAGCAGTTGAAGATGGCTCAAGCACTGGGGCCCTGCACCCACATGGAAGATCCAGAAGAAGCTGCTGGCTCCTGGCTTCGGATGAGTGCAGCTCTGGCCATTACAGACATTTGGGGAGTGAACCAGTGGATGGAAGACCCTCTCACTGTCTGTAACTCTACCTCTCAAATAAATAAATAAAATAGGTGTTTAGTATGCTGAGGGGCAAGTATCTTTATGTTAATGGTAATCAGTGGGTTCATGATTCATACCTCTTTTCAAATGAATACAAAGTCATTTTGTATTCAAATCAAGCTAAATTTCTTTCTTTTCTTTTTTTTATTTATTTGACAGATAGAGTTAGACAGTGAGAGAGACAGAGAGGAAGGCCTTCCTTCCTTTGGTTCACTCCCCAAATGGCGTCTATTGCCAGCGCTGCGCCAGTCTGAAGCCAGGAGCCAGGTGCTTCTTCCTGGTCTCCCATGTGGGTGCAGGGCCCAAGCACTTGGGCCATCCTCCACTGCCCTCCTGGGCCACAGCAGAGAGCTGTACTGGAAGAGGAGCAGCTGGGACTAGAACTGGCGCCCATATGGGATGCCAGCGCCGCAGGAGGTGGATTAACCAAGTGAGCCATGGTGCCGGCCCCAAATCAAGCTAAATTTCATAATCACATGCATTCATATTAAGTCTCCTTCAACTCATCCTCAATCACTTTTCCACCAAAATAATGAAACCAAAGTTAATTCTTAAGGATCTGCATTGCTGCCACATAGGCAGGAGACCAGGATTAAGTCCCTTCCCCACTTTGGTCTAGCCCATCCCACCAGGTACAGTCATTTTGGGTGTGAACTGGCAGACCCTATCTCCATCCAGGTGTCTGTTCCTCTGTATTTTTCATGATTATTCACTTATTTATGAGAAAGGCAGAGTGACACAGAGAGGAGAGAGAGAGAGAAAAAGAGAGAGAGAGAGATCTACCAACTGAATCATTCCGTCAATGGCTGTAGCAATGAGGAGTGGGCCAAGCAAAGCCAGGACCCAGGAAACCCACCTTTGATCTCCCACATAGGTGGCAGGTACTGAAGCACTTGTCCCATTTTCTGGTGATGTAGCAGCCACATTAACAGTATGATGGGGGCTGGCGCTGTAGCATAGTCAGTGGAGCCACCGCCTCCAGTGCCCTCATCCCATGTGGGCACCAGTTTGAGTCCTGGCTGCTCCACTTCCAGTCCAGCTCTCTGTTGTGGCCTGGGAAAGCTGTGGAAGATGGCCCAGGGCCTTGGGCCCCTGCACCCACATGGGAGACCTGGAGGAGACTCCTGGCTCCTGGCTTTGGATCGGTGCAGCTCCGGCCATTGTGGCCATTTGGGGAGTGAACCAGCAGATGGAAGACCTCTCTCTCTCTGCACCTCTCCCCCTCTCTCTGTGTAACTCTGACTTTCAAATAAATAAATGGATAAATCTTTTAATAAAGGAGTATGATGGGTTGGAAGCTGAGTAGCTGAGACTTGAGCATGCAGTAGGATGCTGGTTCCATAGCAGCAATTATCCTACTATACCACAATACCAGCCCCCACTCTGTTATCCAAATAATTAAGAAAATAAACTCATGCATACATAAATTCTATTCATATAGGTACTTTTTGAGATACACTCAAATGGTAGGGTTTCCCTTATGATACAGGTATATGAAGTCTCTTAATGGTCTGGAAATCAGGTAACTCATTATACATTTCCACTACCCTGTATGTATAAGTTTGGAATCTGTGGGATAGCCTGCAATGAAGAAATAGGTGGACTCCTGGGCCCTGTATCACTGCCCTCAGGGCATGCTCAGGACCTCAAGGAAGACAATGTTTAGACTTCTAATGATCCCAACAGTATTTTCATCTACTTGTCTGCAAAGGTAGTTAAATGAATGATGTTACCTGAAACTTCTAGGTAGTGTTTCCTATATTTTGTTTGCTTTCTGATGGTGGAAGTAAGGCTGCTTCCAAATATCTTGAAGCAGTGGTCAAGCAAGTATTGTACAAGAGCAACCTATAACACAAAGGACCAAAAAGGTGTTGTACTTTTACATTTGGCATCATTATAAATCATATTTTATATATGAATATTGGATCAAACAAAAATGTGAAACTCAACTGAAAAACTCAGAGTTGCCATAAAGTATATAAACCTATTTTCAATATGGAATGATGTCTGTTTCTCTGAGTTGTGGACAATTCTTTAAATACTTCTAGTCAATGCTTTTTTTTAAAATTTTTTTTAAAATTTTTTTATTTTTTTATTTTTTTGACAGGCAGAGTGGACAGTGAGAGAGAGAGATAGAGAGAAAGGTCTTCCTTTGCCGTTGGTTCACCCTCCAATGGCCGCCGCGGCCGGCGCGCTGTGGCCGGCGCACCGCGCTGATCCGATGGCAGGAGCCAGGAGCCAGGTGCTTTTCCTGGTCTCCCATGGGGTGCAGGGCCCAAGCACCTGGGCCATCCTCCACTGCACTCCCGGGCCACAGCAGAGGGCTGGCCTGGAAGAGGGGCAACCGGGACAGAATCCGGCGCCCCAACCGGGACTAGAACCCAGTGTGCCGGCGCCGCTAGGCGGAGGATTAGCCTAGTGAGCCGCGGCGCCGGCCCGTCAATGCTTTAATATTATCATTTTGTGGCTTTAATTTGTTAGTATTTTTATTTCAATGACTGCATGTTAACAAATATGATCATTTTCAGGATATTTGGGGTGAAAATGTGTGTTCTTATTCTAAAATTTGTAAATGACACCAAATGGACACACACACATTTTGGAAACTTATTTCCTGAGTTAATTGTTCTCAACTAGAGAACAGAGAGCATCTCAGTGTGTTTTTCTGCCAGAACGTGGCCAGTTGGAGAGAGAAGTGTTTCTCTGTGCACGGGCGTGCATCACCTCATCCTTGCCTTCCGGATGAGTTCAGAGAAGGACTGACGTTCCGTCTGGCAGGTTGCTGCCCCTTTAGCTTGTTCTGAGAACTCTGGGAACTTTGATGAGCTTTCACATATCCACTTGCAGAGATGAAACAGGAACATGGCATCTCCGGCTCACAATCAGAAGAGGAAGGCGATGACACATAACCATGTCACCCAGGGCAACCAGGCACTCTCGGTCCTTCTCTGGTATTGTAACAACTGAAATTTCTCACATGAGAAAACTTTGGCCAGAAAAGATTATTAAATGTCAGATGAGACAGGAACTTGAACATTGTTTTGTCCAACTCCAAGATCTAAATTCATTTCTATCACATCGTATAATTTTCTCCTCTGTTTTATATTATAATGTGACGTGTTAATTCTTTGATGGGAATAAAATGACTCACTGCTCCCAATGCCCTGCCTAATGTCTCATCCACCCACAACTGCAACAAAGGATAAATAATTGCCTCTACAGAGGAGTACCTAACATGTGCATTTAAAAAATGCTCCGGGCCGGCGCTGCGGCTCACTAGGCTAATCCTCCGCCTTGCGGCGCCGGCACACCGGGTTCTAGTCCCGGTCGGGGCGCCGGATTCTGTCCCGGTTGCCCCTCTTCCAGGCCAGCTCTCTGCTATGGCCAGGGAGTGCAGTGGAGGATGGCCCAGGTGCTTGGGCCCTGCACCCCATGGGAGACCAGGAAAAGCACCTGGATCCTGGCTCCTGCCATCGGATCAGCGCGGTGCGCCGGCTGCAGCGGCGGCCATTGGAGGGTGAACCAACGGCAAAGGAAGACCTTTCTCTCTGTCTCTCTCTCTCACTGTCCACTCTGCCTGTCAAAAAAAAATGCTCCAATAGAATTAACATACTATATTTCAGGATCATAGGGGAACACTATTGCATAGGGAATAAAAGGGAGACACCTCATTACCTTTTTCTCCCATTCCGTTGCTATATCTAGAATGCTGGCAACTGGTGGCCATAGAAGACTTGGGGTAATGCACCACGCCAGGTTAGAACTTGTCATCTCCTTCGAGGGTGATTTCTGTGAAATCTTGTGTAAACAGTGAAAGAGAGATTGCAGGAGATGAACGTTTGGTTTGGGCAGCTGTGCTAAAAGCCTGAAAACAGAAAAAGGCATCATTAAAGCAAGAATTTTAACTCAGGATGTTTTCCTCTCAAACAGGAAAAAATGTCTGGTATACCATTGGTAAAATACAACAAAAATAGTGGAGAAAATGTACCAAATTATCTTAAAATATTTTGTTTGACTTTTCTTTGAATCCATTACATCCTGTGTTCAATACAGCAAATATTATTCATATCTAAGTTAACAGAAGCATACTTGAAGCACTCATCCACTTTAGAATGTGGCCAATTATAAAGCCTACTGAATGAAAACAGAAGTTGAATACAGTGTACTCTGAGTTTTAAGACAGTCACACAACAATGCTGTCTTCTGTCAAGAGATCAAAGGTTATCCTGTATCTAATAACAGGAATATGTTTCCTTGAATTCAGTTCCTGTCCATCTATCCTACACTTGTTTTCTAAGTCTTATGCTAACGTTGCACAAAGATCTCCAGTATATTGGTCCCCTAACATCTGGCTTGATCCATGAATTTACTCTGATAGCTATTCCCTATATTCAGGACGAGTACAAAGATCAAGAATAATTTTAGGAGAAAAATAAGAATAGAATGACAGTAGCAAGATTTGCCTTTGTTTATAAACAGGCCTCCAAATGTGACAAAATGAAAGCGTTAGTCTAAGTGATTATTAAAGCGAACAAACCAGTAGCCAGCGCTGTGGTGTGATAGGTTAAGCCTTCGCTTGTAGTGCCAGCGTCCCATGTGGGCACTGGTTTATGTCCTGGCTGCTCCTCTTCCAATCCAGCTCTCTGTTAAAGAAGCAGTAGAAAGCAGTAGGAGATGGCACAAGTGCTTGGGCCCCTGCACCCTCGTGGGAGACCTGGAAGAAGCTCCTGGATCCTGGCTTCAGATCAGCCCTGCTCTGGCCATTGTGGCCATTTGGAGAGTGAACCAGTAGATGGAAGACCTTACTCTCTATCTCTCCCTCTCTGTCTGTAAATCTGCCTCTCAAGTAAATAAATAAATCTTAAAAATATATTTATATATGCATATATTTTTTAAAAGTGAATAAAATAACATAAAATTCAATTTTCTATCTTTCTAAGAGAATGTTGGTTGCATTATTCCAGCGTACTAAAGAAAATAAATACCACATCTTCACCTCTGAATCATAGCTATCTTGGTCTTGTCATTCCTTTCATCCAGAACGCCAAGGAATTTTTCATACAGGTTAGCAGTAAACACACTTCCAGGTATGTTTTGAAGTAAATCCTTGTAGTATAGATAAAAATGTGGATTATTCTCATGGAACATGCATGGGTTAGTCTCCTAAACACAAAACAATAAAGCATTTGACCCCCAAATACTTCAAAACCACCCAATCTGTGGCCTGCACAGAGCTTGGATGCAGCTCTCCACTACCTTCAGTGTGCAGAAGCATGGGCTCGCATTTCTCTAATGAAAAGCATCAGCATAAATGCAGAGTGGGGGTACCAGTGACACTGAAAACATCTCCTGTCACGTGACCCTCCTTCTTTATGGCCAATTCAGGAAAATCATACAGACTGACAAGTGATGATGATTCATCCTCTTTCTCCTGTTATTATCTTGACACAAAAGGAAGCACATACATTTTCCCTATTTATTTCCGGTCACAGAGTTTTAACTTTTATCAGGAATGGTTCTGAATCAAGTAATATCCCACTCATGAGTACTCTTGAATAGAGAAAGGAGGGTGCAGCTCTCTGCCTTGAGCTGTTTGCTCCTTAGGAAAAATTGTCATACCAACCTCAATCTTTTTGTCATGATAGAAATTCAGCTTTTTTTTTTACTTTAAGCAAAAGTTTCTCTCATATATCACCAAATTCATATATATATATACATATATATGTATATATATATCACCAAGAATTCCTACAAATTCTTCTTTGCAACTTTTTGGAACCAATGCAATCCATACAAGGAGATAAATTTGTCACAATTGAGATTTATAATTATTCAGACCTTAGACTATCAGTGTTATGGGTAAGCTTGAATTTTGTCTTGGTAAATTGTTCTATTTGTATGGTTAGTGAACAATGTCAGTACCATGAAACAGGGTCCATGGACGCTCTCACTTTCTCTGTGTAAGCATGGGAAATGTTCTTAAATGTCATCGCTAATATCATTTTCACTGGTCTCAACTACAGAGCCCATCAATGAATCTTTCTGACAGTAACATATTGAAGAAATAAATCCAGGCAACTGTCACGATTATAATCCAGTGATGGTACACTCATTTTATTTTTATTTAATTAAAAATGTAACTCAAGGGCCGGCGCCGTGGCTCACTAGGCTAATCTTCCACCTGCGGTGCTGGCACCCTGGGTTCTAGTCCTGGTCGGGGCGCCGGATTCTGTCCTGGTTGCTCCTCTTCCAGTCCAGCTCTCTGCTGTGGCCAGGGAGTGCAGTGGAGGATGGCCCAAGTGCTTGGGCTCTGCACCCACATGGGAGACCAGGAAAAGCACCTGGCTCCTGGCTTCGGATTGGCGCAGCACGCAGGCCATAGCAGCCATTTGGGGGGTGAACCAACGTAAGGAAGACCTTTCTCTCTGTCTCTCTCTCTCTCTCTCACTGTCTAACTCTGCCTGTCAAAAAAAAATGTAACTCAAGTGAGCAGGAATACTACACAAGTGACTCCTGAGCTGGGGGCTGGGGATGTGCCAGCATCTGAGACAGGTGATATTACCTGAGGAAGAACACTTCAGACCACACAGGCATTGAGTCCGAACTGGAGTCCCCAAAAGGGGCAGGGTACTCACAGTGAAAGAAGAGTGCATTTCTTTCTCCCTAACCCCCTCCAAGGTGTCTGAGATCTGGCAGATAGGAGCCATTTTGACACCAGTAAAGGCTGCAGGCAACCCTTGTACATGTGTGTAGCCAGGGGATTTTACCAGCGGGGAAAGATTGTGTTCCCCACTGAGTCTGTTTGTGAGGGTTGCCAGGGGCTAGGCACCCACACAGGAATGTGAGGTGACACCATCCTCTCCACAAATCTCAGGCTCCAGGGTTCAAACTGCCAAGGTGGGGCACCCACATGCAGCTGGCTTTGAGAATGACTGCCCTCTCTGGGGAAAGAGCAGGCTCACACGACTGAGCAGAACCTCTGTATCCAAAACTGTGGGAGCCTTGAGTTCAGTGACTTGGAAATTCTGTAACTTCACGATAGGGCAATGGGCATAACTGTGTCTCTGGGCAATCGCTCTGTCTGGTGACAGAGGTTCAGAGCTCCCTGAGGGCCTGCGTGGGTCACTGAGAGGTTCTGTGCTCACACTGAAGTCCCACAGATCCTTTGTGTGGGTCATGCACAAGCATGGATGGGGTTAGTAATCAACTGTGATCTAAATCCAAACGTTGATTACCTTGGAAGACAGGAGGCGAAGCTGTGATTTATGCCAACAGGCGTGATCAAACCCTCTCCACTGCCACAGTAGAGGAGATCTACCTCACCTAACTGGGCTGTCACCCGGATTCTTGCCTCACCCTTGGTAACTGACCAGAGTTTCTGGGACAAACCTCTGGGTATTCACTGAAAAAGCAGACACTCCACTAAGCCATGGAGGCATAAGATAAAACCCATAAGAGGAAACCTCAATGAGATTTCCACAAAATTCCTAAAAATAAACACAGAAGTAAAAGAAACAAGAACAAGGAATACAATATGACTCCCATAAACGAACATAGCTGCACTTAAATATTAGAATGTGAAGATGAAGAGATTGATCAAATGCTTGGAAAATAACTCAAAAATGTTCATAAGATTACTCAGAGGCAATGAGAAGCAAATTCATGTGTTAAAGAAATCCACACATGTTATGGATGAAAAATTTTCCCATGAGATTTAAGTTTTGAAATAAAATTGAAATATTAGAAATGAAGCATTCAGTATGTCCAAAACAAAGTACAGTGGAGAGCCTTAACCACAGACTTGGTGAGGCAGAATGAAGAATATCCAAGCTAGAAGACAATTCTTTGTAAATATCTCAGGAGGAGGAGGAGAAGAAGAATAAACTGGAGAAATTTTAAAGTGTTGGAGATTCATGGGACACTATCAAATGATCCAACATACCAATCTTATGAGTTCCTGAAGGTGTGGAAAGGAAGGATGGTTTAGAAGGACTATTTAGGGGCTGACACTGTGGTGTAGTATGTTAAGCCTCTACCTGCAGCACTGGCATCACATATGGGTGCTAGTTCAGCTGCTCCTCTTTTGACCCAGTTCTCTGCTAGTGGCCTGGGAAGTCAGTGGAAGTTGGCTCACGTTCTTGGGACCCTGAACTCATGTCAGAGATTCAGAAGAAGCTCCTGGTCCTGGCTTCAGGTGGACCCAGCTCTGTGCAATGTGGCCATTTGAAGAGTGAACCAGCAGATGGTAGACTTCTCACTTTGTATTTCTGTCTTTCAAGTAAAAATAAATAAATCTTTAAAAAGAAGGCCTATTCAGAAGACCCCTAATCTGAAGAAAAAAGAGACATCAAAATACAGGAAGTAAATAATACTCCCAACAGACATGTCTCGAAATGATCTTCAACATTAAACAATGTAGTCAATGGTCCAACAGTAAACATAATGAAAATAATATTCTAAAATGTGAGGAGAGGAATGCCAGAGTGTCTTCAGAGTACCTGCAATTAGAATCACAGTTGATTTCTATCAGAAACTGCGCAGGCTAACAGAGAATGGAGGGACTAGTTTACATTTATTTATTTATTTAGTTATTTATTTATTTTTTATTTTTTTATTTTTTTTTTATTTTTTGACAGGCAGAGTGGACAGTGAGAGAGAGAGAGAGAGAGAAAGGTCTTCCTTTTGCCGTTGGTTCACCCTCCAATGGCCGCCGCGGCCGGTGCGCTGTGGCCGGCGCACCGCGCTGATCCGATGGCAGGAGCCAGGATCCAGGTGCTTCTCCTGGTCTCCCATGGGGTGCAGGGCCCAAGCACCTGGGCCATTCTCCACTGCACTCCCTGGCCACAGCAGAGAGCTGGCCTGGAAGAGGGGCAACCGGGACAGAATCCGGCGCCCCAACCGGGACTAGAACCTGGTGTGCCGGCGCCGCTAGGCGGAGGATTAGCCTAGTGAGCCGCGGCGCCGGCTAGTTTACATTTTAAAAGAAAAATTTGCCAGCCTAGAATACTGTATCCTACAAAACTCCCATTTATATATGAAGGAGAAATAAATGCCTTCCAGAACAAAGAGAATTGAAATAACTTTTAAACACTCGCTCAGCCTTCTCATTATTAAATAGGCCTTCTTATTAAATAATGTGAATGCAAAAATTTTCCTAGAAAGAGTACAAAGAAAAAAAAGAAAAAGTACAAAGGAAAGGAAAGCCAAAAATAAAAATATTTATGGAAAAATAACAGGGCCATGTCATTACTTATCAATGATAACCTTGAATGTAAATGACAAGAATTCTGCTATTAAAAGATGCAAACTGGGGCCAGTACTGTGGTGTAGCAGGTTAACTTGCTGTTTGCAGTGCCAGCGTCCCATATGGGTGTGGGTTCAAATCCTCGCTGCTCCACTTCTGATACAGCTCCCTGCTAATGCATCTGGGAAAGCAAAGGAAGATTGCCCAAGTACTTGGACCGCTGTGCCCACGTGGGAGACCCAGAGAAAGCTCCTGCCTTTTGGCTTTGTGTCAGCCAAGCTCTATAGGTTATAACCCTTTGGAGAGTTCCTAAGATGGAAGATCTCTCTCTGTGTCCCCCAACCACTCCATCATAGCTCTGCCTTTCAAATAAATAAATAAATCTTACAAAGGGAAAAAAGCAGGGGAAGATGACCCAAGTGTTTGGGCTCTTGCTACTCATGTGGGAGACTTGGGAGGTGCTCTAGGCTCCTGGGTTTGGCCTGGCCCAGCCCTGGCTGTTGTAGCCATTTAGGGAGTGAACTAGTGGATGGAATCTCTCTCTCTCTCTCTCTCTCTCTCTCTCTCTCTCTTTCTCTTTCACTCTTTCTCTCTGTAACTCTACCTTTCAAATAAATAAATAAATCTTTAAAAAAGGTTCAGACTGGCTGAATGGAATAAAAAACAAGATCCATCTATTTGCTTTCTACAACAAACACCTCTCACCAACAAATATATCTGCAGACTGAAAGTGAAAGGATGGAAAAAATATTCTGTGCTAACCAAATGCAAAAATGAGCAGATGCAGCTATGCAAATTACAGATAAAAATAGACTTTAACACAAAAACTCTTAAAACAGATGAAGAAGGATAATATATAATG